AGATATTTCGACTTCCCATGGGATCGCCGCTCTTACCACTTTTGGCAAACGTTTACATGAACAAAATAGAAGAGAAGTTAAAATGGTACCGCTACAACCGGCACTGCTCATGAGCTATCTGGATGATTATTTCGCAGTTTGGTCACATGGAAGATGAAAACTCGAAGAGTTTCTGCGGTTTGTAAACCAGATTGATCAAAAAATTCAATTCACCATGTAAATAGAGGAAAGTGAGCGGTTACCGTTCCTGGACATTGAAGTGATTCGCTCTAATGAGACGCTCAAACAAAAATTGTTCTGAAAGAGGTCCTATGTTGGGATAATACTCAATTTCTGGTCCCATCACAATTAAATGCTAAAGATAGGAATAATGAGGAGTATGATCCTCTAAAGAGTACGCCTAACGGATGTAGAATTCTGGGACGGGGAGCTGGAGAAATTGACTAGGATATGCCTAGGCAACGGCTATCCAATCGAAGTGATACAAAGAAACATACGGGCCGTGGAAAGCCGATGGCAGAACGGGGACTATGAAAGAACAGTAAGGACAATGAAGGATTCACAAAAGTGGATATGCCTACCTTCCTGCAAACTAACTCAAAAACTACGACCAACATTCAGTAAATGGAATATTCAGGTGGGCATAAAAGATAAATCAACACTTTACAAGTCTACCGACGCAACATGAAATGGTAAATAAATTGGATTGTTCAGGAGTTTACTGTATATCATGCGGTGCCTGCAAACAGAAATATATTGGCGAAACAGGAAGAAAAATTAGCACACGAATCAAGGAATATCAAAGGCTGTTTAGGAAAATGGATACTAGCGGGACACGAGATCAATTGGAAGGCGACGGAAAGAAGAGCTGAGCTTACTTCCATGTAGAGTGAGTGTTGTGTGAAGAGATTCGAAGGTCGGTTTCACCAGAAGACGACGGTGGTGACCAGCTGTCGATTGGCTTTACTGGAAGATTCATGCTGACGCTGTTTCCGAGGTAATCTTCTTCGATTTTGGTGAAAAAGTGCTAAGCTTTTGTCCGTCATGTGACGAACATCATCAGAACAAGGTATCATTGTCAGAGCAAAATTCAAGCTTATGAGTCAGGAAAACTCACCAGAAAATCACTAAAAAGTGGTATATATACTCTACATCTGGTCTCTGATCAAGTATAAAGTGATTTGGTTAGTTAAGGTCATATGTCAACTTCAATGCCTGTGAGTGTATATGTTCCTGTTTGTGTTCGCTTATGCACGAAACCCGCAGTGATGGCTCATAGTAATTAGGACAGCAAAAAGGAACGTCTGTTTTTGGCCATCAAGGTTTGATGAACCCTATCTCTCTTTTTCTACATACATGTTATAACCATCACTCCGATTGCGCAAGGTCGGACACTCGTCTGGTTTTGTTGATGAGCCTTTTTTCGGTTTTTGTCCTCATTGCGAGAAAGAAAGAGTAAGCTAAAAGTAAAGAGAAGTAACTATGATTAAAAGTAAGACAAGAAAAGGCTAGTTGCACGTCTACTTTTATTCGCACAAAGAAGAGTCCCATACGGTGACAATACGAGGAAGCGGAATATAAGGGGAGAAAATCTAATGAAAAGGAGATTGGAGGAAGGCAGAGTTAGCGATAACTTTGCCTACTGCCTGAGCAAACTCGGATAAAACAAGAATAAAACAAGACCAGCAAAGAGGAGACGCCTGGATCAAGGATCTGCCGCTAACCGGAGAAAAAGAGATCGTGATGAAGAAAGTGGAGGGCAGGGGTTTTCGGCAATAAAGCGAAGATGTCAGTGAGTGATGCTCGTTTCGAATAAAGCAGTACAACTTTGGGGGCCTGGCAGTCAAGGAGCTGGGCAGACGGATGAGCAAACCGTCACGGAAATTCGGTGTTATGGCCAAAATGTACTGGAAATCCACTTAAGATGCTGCATGCGACCAGAGATAGGCGTCCACAGTTTGCTCAGATAACATGGGTTTAATCAACGAGAGGACCCGTGAAGGGAAGGCCTGATATCTGCAAGCTTAGGCGCTCTGCTCAGTGAGGCGGCAGTGTATGTGCTTCTAGGGCGTCTGGAGTGAAATTTGAACTGGGACTGGAACC